AAATCAAAATATTAAATAAAATAAAGTAAAACTAATAAATACAAATTAATAAAAACTATAAAGACATATTTAAAAAAAAAAGAAAGAAAGAAAGAAAAATAAAAGAAAATGAATAAAAATGGCAAAAACACAAAATAACTAAAACTTACTTAACTAAAATTAAAGTGGAAACAGAAATATAAATTATATCAAAAATATAAAATTAAAAATATAAAAATAGAATTAAAAAATAATAATTTTCAGTTCTCATTTTCGTTTAGTTTAACTTGAAGTACCAAAAAACTAAACTAAAGTAAAACTAAGAAAAAAACATTTAATAAAAACTATATAGACACAAAAGAAAAGAAAAACTAAACTAAATAAGTCTAATAAAAAAAACTATATAGAAAAAAATCTATAGATATATATTTAAAAGAAAATATAAGAAAGAAAAAGTATTAAAAAAATCGCAAAAACACAAAATTACTAAAACTTTAACTAAAATTAAAGTGGAAAAAATATATAAATAAAAAATTGAAAAAAATTATTTAATATAAATAAATAAAAAAAATTCTAAATATAAAGTATAATAGTATATCAATGATACTAAAATAACAGTGTCACTTATAAGGTCCTACTTCAGTTAGACACTGCTTAAGCAGGTCGCAGTCTAGGTATGCAGTAGGCCGCTCTCTATGGTTTGGAACAGAGCTGGTGTCCTGAGACCTTCAAGCTACACACAGTAGCTTTCCTCTGTATGAGGCAGTGTGTCTCAGTACCTGAAGAAGACGTCTCTGGGCAGGCGTCCTGAGCGCGGGTGGACCAGCTGCTCTTTGAGGGACTCCAGGGAGCAGTTATAGATGTAGATGGGGCAGCGGGGTCGTGCTGCGTCGGCACCGCTCTGCTGAGACACCTGTCTGCTGAACGTGATGTGACAGTCTCGCTTCTGAGGCTCCACAAACTGAACGCCGTCCTTCTCCTCTGAAGCTGAAAGTTATGAGACAAGAGGTATGAATATAAAAATCTCTCCCATCTCATTCATTTTTTTGTCCTAACCAGCTGGAACATGTGAAGCAGCTATGTTTTGTATCTTTGATATATTATTAATATTTTGAATATTTTTTATTTTTATATTTTCTGTTTTCATTTTAGTGAGTTTAGTAATTTTGTTGTGAGTTCTTGCCATTTTTATTACTTTTTTTTATTATATATATCTACACTGTTTAAACTAAAGTAACTAAATTTAAATTAATTTAAACTAAATTACCTAAATAGACTAAATTTAAACTAAATGAAAATAGAGATTTTGCCTTGGCAACTAGATGTAAATAAATGTAAGTTTTTTAGATTGTATTATTTCAGTTTTACAGTTTGATGATGCAAATTTGCGTAGTGTGAAAGATTGATATTTTTCTAGTTTGTACTGTAATTTCATCTTACACATAATTGGGTCAGGTGTGCAAGGCACCATTTATTTTTTGGATTTTATTTCAACTAACAAAAACATTTTTTTTTATGGTTTTATTTTTAGTTAAGTACAATAACCCTGATGTGAAACACAACTAAACTCCCTTGTTTGGTTTCAGTTTCTGTCATATTTGTCACTTCATTGTGTCAAATCCAGTCTGGAAACATGCAGCAGAATTTAAGTCCCATACCAGCATCACTTGTGTCCATGTTGCTCTGTCCTGCAGACGTCTCCAGCGCTGCTCCTGCTTCCACTGTGGACCCCTTCCTGTCTTCTCCATGTTGACCTGTTCCAACCTGTGGACCATTGGCAGAGCTGCTGAAGGAGTCTGCCTGTGATTGGCCGTTGCCGTGACTACAGGTCTCCTCCTCTTCCAGGAGACTGCTGTTGATTGGAGGTTCAGTTTCCAGCCCGGACGACATCAAAATCTGCACATCTGCACAGTCAAAATAAAGCTTAAATAGAAAATTACTAAAAAATAAGCACATAACAACAGTTTTACAAGGTATTAAGTTACACAAAAGCCATGTCATAAGTTAAGGGAGTGACAACCACATTGTTAGTTTTTTTTTATTACTATAATTATTTCTGCATTTTGATGCAATATTAACTGAATAATCATTAGACTACAGCAATAAAAATTTAATATTCATTATAAATGTTTTATTCATAATTATCATATATTATATATTAAGCAACAAATTATTATTTTAATAATAATAATAATAAACTTTTTTCTTGCATTTTCTGTAACACTGGCATTTATAAGTATTAAAGACCCACCAACTGGTAGTTGGTAGTAACATTCTCCAGATTGCAATATTAGTTTTTATCAAACACTGCTGGGTTAAACTGTGGGCATGTTTCATGTTTGCAGCCAAAAATGTAAGTGGCTAAATAAAAAGCATTCAAATAACTTCAATCTCATGATGTGTGTAAACATAGAGGACTATTGGCATTGACAGACGATGCACCTGTGAATGTAGCTGGCAGGAAAGTGAGCAGGATCTGCTGATGACTGATGTATTTGGCGTAACATTTCCAGTGAGGAGATAAGCAGTCCTGCTCCGCGCCAGCTGGCTCGTCATCCACAAGATCTGCATTACTGAAGCTCTGCCAAGAACAAACACACACACACACACACACTGTAACAACTCCGCCAACAACAGAAGGATAAGTACACTGCCGTTTGAAAGTTTGGGGTCAGTAAGATTTTTATTTTTATTTTTTTTAATGAAAGAAATTAATACTTTTATTCAGCAAGGACATATTAAATTGATCAAAAGTGACAGTAAAGACATTTATAATCTTACAAAAGTTTTCTATTTCAAATAAATGCTGCTCTTTTGAACTTTCTATTCATCAAAGAATCTTGAAAAAAAATGTATCACAGAAGCAGCAAACAATCTGGAAAACAATCTGAGAAAAATAATATACACATTTATTTTATTTACGTTTTTATCATTTTATTATTTAGTTAGTTCGTTTGTTTGTATTTTTTAATAAATATTTCTAACCAGCCATGATTTTTTTATTTAATTTAAATTTATTTATATAGAAAATATACAAATAATGCAATTGTTTTGTGTTTTCCCCTTGCATATAAGTGATGGACTAATGTGCACCTGTAACTAGTAAGGCATGATGCCTCATAGGGTCATAGGTTCTATTCCCAGGCAGCAATAAGCTGATGTTTAATCACACACACACACACACACACTGTAACAACTCCGCCAACAACAGAAGGATAAGTACACTGCCGTTTGAAAGTTTGGGGTCAGTAAGATTTTTATTTTTATTTTTTTTAATGAAAGAAATTAATACTTTTAGTCAGCAAGGACATATTAAATTGATCAAAAGTGACAGTAAAGACATTTATAATCTTACAAAAGTTTTCTATTTCAAATAAATGCTGCTCTTTTGAACTTTCTATTCATCAAAGAATCTTGAAAAAAAATGTATCACAGAAGCAGCAAACAATCTGGAAAACAATCTGAGAAAAATAATATACACATTTATTTTATTTACGTTTTTATCATTTTATTATTTAGTTAGTTCGTTTGTTTGTATTTTTTAATAAATATTTCTAACCAGCCATGATTTTTTTATTTAATTTAAATTTATTTATATAGAAAATATACAAATAATGCAATTGTTTTGTGTTTTCCCCTTGCATATAAGTGATGGACTAATGTGCACCTGTAACTAGTAAGGCATGATGCCTCATAGGGTCATAGGTTCTATTCCCAGGCAGCAATAAGCTGATGTTTAATCGTCCACTGTGGTAAAAGGTGTGTGAGTTGTACACTTCAGTTTCATCAGTGAGGGTCAGATATCAATTATGGGTCATTTATGTCATATGTATTATGCTCCAGATAAAGTTAACTCCATTTGATTTACTAGCCAAAGGCTGTTTCACACACATGTGTGCACTGGTTATCAGCAGTGTTGGGGGTAACGCATTACAAGTAACGCAAGTTACGTAAGTAACGCAAAAGTAACGCAACACATTACTTTCCATAAAAAGTAACTAAGTAACATAATTAGTTACTTTTTTATGGAGTAACACAATATTGTAATGCATTACTTTTAAAAATAACTTTTCCCCAACACTGTCTATGAGTGTGGTTGGGTTTTTTCAGCTGAGCTGTAATATGAGCTGATGTACCTGCAGTGTGCTGGAGGAGCCCGTCACCTCTTTACTGCTTCCAATCGTGTGGAAAGACAGAACAGTGTCCTGCCTCTCCAGAGGCTTCAAGCTCTCCTCTGAAAACACACACACAAGATAAACCTCATGAGGGAAGATCAGGGGTCAGTCTCTTCTTATGTCACTAGTAATTGCTAATGAATCAATTAAAGATCATTTGGGATGTCTGGCATCCATTAGCATGAAGTCTTTCAATTAGTGTGTTTTAAATCATCTACTTAGTTTAAACATCTTGTTTCTTCTTCAATGAGCGCAATGCCACTTTACACTTACACTTTAGCAAGAGTAAATGAAAACAACAAACCAAGGGTGGTTGCTCTGTGCTTCCAGATTAATGATATATAATATATATATATATATATATATAACCGAGACTTGTCATTTGCACTTATATATTGTTGCTCTTTTGTTAGTTTTGACTGCTTTTATTGTCCTCATTTGTAAGTCGCTTTGGATAAAAGCGTCTGCTAAATGACTATATGTAAATGTAAATGTAATGAAATGTTCAGGGTTTAATATAAGCACAAACAAATGAACAACTAGTTAACAGTAATGCATTTACAATGGAAGTCTATGGGGAAAAACATGTGTGTTTAAAAGCACAATCCTTCCTAAAACATGGAAGTTAACCACTATTATATAAAGTATACACTACCGTTCAAAAGTCTTGGGTCAGGATGATTTTTTAAAATGTTTTTGAAAGTCTCTTCTGCTCACCAAGGCTGCATTTATTTGATCAAAAATACAGTAAAAACAGTCATATTGTGAAATATTATTACTATTTAAAATAACTGTTTTCTATTTGTATATGTTAAAATGTAGTTTATTCCTCTGAAGGCAAAGCTGAATTATAATATACTGTATATACACACACACACTACCAAATGTTTTAGAAAGATGTCTATTCTGCTCGCCAAGGCTGCATTTATTTAATCAAAAATACAGCAAAAACAGTAATATTCTTAAATATTATTGCAATGTATATAATAAAATAATTAAAACTAAAATTAAATATATAATAACAGTTTTCTATTTAAATATATTTTCAAATGTAATTTATTGCTGTGATCAAAGCATCATTACTGCAGTCTTCAGTGTCACATGATCTTCAGAAATCATTCTAATACGCTGATTTGCTGCTCAAGAAACATTTCTGATTATTATCAATGTTGATAATTAGTTGTTTTCATCAATTTAATGCACCCTTGCTGAATAAAAGTATTAATTTCTTTCAAATCTTTTGAACAGTAGTGTATGTTTTCATTTGGTTGCATGAGCGTTACAGACATTTTAGCATTAATACAGCCAAATCACCTTTGATGACAGGAAGTGAGAACGGAGCCACGTGGCCATCTCTTTCCCGCTCTAGGATGTGATGCATGAACGCCACATGATCGCCGTCAGTCAACAGGATCTCTCGATCACTGAGCTCGTTCTGCAGCGAGCCGTGGAAGAGGCTGAGGAGGAGGTCGTTGGGCAGAGAGGAGGCGCTACGGGAGGCATCCTCCTGCCCCTCTGTAACAGAGGTCAAAGGTCAACAGAAAAACAGTGAAATAAGCCCCAGTGTTCACTAATTTGTGACCCTGGACCACAAAACCAGTCATAAGTGTCAATTTTTCGAAATTGAGATTTACACATCATCTGAAAGCTGAATAAATAAGCTTCCCATTGATGTATGGTTTGTTAGGTTTGTTTGTTAGATAGGACAATATCTGGTCGAGATACAACTATTTGAAAATCTGGAATCTGAGGGTGCAAAAAAATCCAAATATTGAGAAAATCGCCTTTAAAGTTGTTCAAATGAAGTTCTTAGCAATGCATATTACTAATCAAAAATTA